GAGGCAGTCAGGGACTTAAGGTGTTGTGGCCAATAAGGAGTGACTATTCCCTTGGGCTTGCAGATGCCCAGTGGGTAACTAAAAGCAGCATAAACCTAGGCATCTTTGTATTCCTTTTGTATCTGTCTCCTTTCTTACTTTAAATCTTTGGATCATGTTCCTGTTCAGCTCTGCATACAGGCATATTAATCATTAAAAGAATGTCAGTCTACAAACTAGTAATTCAAGGTATATTAGCCCTAAATTTACCTAACCTGTCTCATCTGCCTTCAAGACTGAGGACACCAAGATAAGAGACTGAAGGGAACATTTAGCTACCAACTTTTACTCCCCAGAATGGGTATCTAGAAGTCTCTGGAAATTGCCCTAAACCTGTAGTCACCTCAGATTCTAGAAGAGCTTCCACAAACTTGACACTGCCCCTATATAGAAAAAAAACATTTCATGGAAACTGAATTGCTCCTTCAAGCCAAAAGACTCCTCTGGGCTACAAAACCAGATCTGAAATAATGACCAACCAGACCCTAACTCACTCACCAACCTCATAAAAATAGGCCTTGTTAACAGACCAGCCTGAAGTTCTTCATCAGACCTGCATCCACTTCGGCTCCTAAAGATAAAGCTTCTCCATTTTCTCTTAACTTTTCTGTCTAGATAAGTAAGTCTATGCTTTTCACTGACATGCCCTGAAATTCTTTTCAGCAGTGAATGTATAAAATCTACTCAGGCCAAATTGAGGACACTATTTTCTTTTTGGAGGCGTCTCTTTAGAGATTCTTATATCTGATCACTGTCCTCAGTGCTGGTCACTACTGAATACTGGTAACTTTTTTTTTTTTTCTACACTGGGGATTGAATCTGATTGAATCTGGGGCCTTGCATAGACTAGGCAAGTGCTCTACCTCTGAGTTACGTATTTTTGTGTTTTATTTTGATACTGAATCTTTCTAGGTTGCCCAGACTAGACTTGAATTTCTAATCCTTTTGCCTCAGCCACTCCATTAGCTAGCAACATTGCTACCACTGTGTATGGTTCTTGGGTAATTTTTTTTCTTTGAATTCTGCTCATTAATTCAATCTCATGCTATAATAAATCCCAGAATATAACTAGAATTTTTGCAGTATACTGAAATACATATCATTTTTCCCTTATCCTTCATTGTATGGAATATAATATGCATGTTTTTACCTAGTTATGGACAGTTAGGGGTATTTATTTTCCTAAAGGATGCAGGATATAGCAGTCTTTACTGAAGGATCTTATGGAGGGATCTACTAGGTTCTAAATATGGGACAGTCTTTTGTCTTCAACCTTTTTCCCAATCTGTTCTGGTTTCCTGGGTTTCCTGCAAGTCCATAGACTATAGTGGGAAGAATCTTCAGTGGGCCAGTGGAAACTTTGGGAGGCTGGGTCTTTAGGAGGCTGAGCAGCACTTTTAATGTAAAGGATGAATGGCCTAAGGTCAGAACAGGGAAGGAGTATGAAGTTTCAGCTCCAAAATTACTGATCTGAGATATATGCAGAGGTAATATGGGGAGTCCATCAGGCACTGAGGAGACAAGAATACATGGGAAATTCCATCAGGGCAGCAGAAGAGGAAAGGCTTCAAAACTTGGGCTTGACACTAAAAACACAGGGTTGAGTTCAGCTTTTTGGGTGTGAGATCCACTTTGCAGGCACTCAGCCAGACCACAGATTTGGCAGAAGTAATACTGGTGGCTGAATAGGAATATTAATGTGTGTCTTTTCATCACAGAATTTTTTATAAACGAGGCAGTAATTTCACTAGGTTCTTCACAGAAATGCAGTTTAAATTCACTAAAAGCTCCTACAATTTTGCCAGCTGGAAGGAATGTTGGTGTAGGCAGATGATACATCTTTGAACTGTTTTCCTTGTTGCCGTATCGTGGCCAACCACTTTCTCCAGGATTTGATTTCTGCCTCTCCTGAACAATCTTTTTTTTATTTCCCTCTGGGAACTGAGGCTTTGGAAATTTCAGCTGTCAAGATTTCAACATTCAAGATTGTAATTTTGGAAATTACAACTTAGGGATTTTTTAGGATTTCAACATTTGGGATTATGACAATCAGGACGGTGTTTTTCAGGGCTATGATCAAGACCAGGTACAATGTGTTCTAAGATTCCTTCCTGGATAAAATTTGTGACATGAAAGAAAAATGAGAATGAGGAGACAAGGAGGAGGAAGAAGAGGCAGTCACAAAGGAAGAAGAGGAAGAGGAAGAAGAATATAGATACTGAAATAATTTTATTAATGTTCAGAGTTCATGTCCAATGAACATGGAAATAATGCCTTATATAAGATCCTTCTACAAGGATCCTGCCTGACAGAAAAAATAAATCCTTGTTATAGAATTCCATGTTTTTCAGACTGAAAATGTACACAGCTAAATCACTACATTTCTGTCTGCCTATCATCTCTATCTATCTATCCATCTCTCTATCTATCTATTTACCCACCTACCTACCTACCTACCTGAGGGTCTTGCTATGTAGCTCAGCCTGGCCTTGAACTCATTCTGTGAGTCCTTCTGCCTCAGCCTCTTGAGTGCTCTAGCCTCCTTCTTGGCTAAGTGTAGCCTTGCACCTAAATTTTGAACAGTGAACTATAAATAGCATTTGTCAGTGAGTACTCCACAAAGGATCTTTAAATGAGACAGCTGGGGCCCAATCTTTTGTCTCTATCCCTTCCTGGAAAGGAGGTAAGATGGCTGAAATGGGTCCTGAGTTAACTGCAGACAGAAGAGCTTGCATCCTCGACGACTTCACAGAACTGTCACCCCAACTCTGAAATGCTGACCACTGATCTTTTATACTCTTGTTTTATACTCTTGTGTTTAAAAACAGATCCATGGCTGGATCTGTTACTGGAATATGAATGCAATTAATAGCTGGTTTAAAGCAACTTCATCTCAACCAGTCAGGTTACCTTTTACAACCAATATACAGGTCTAGATTGCGATGGGTCTCAGGATAGCTGTGAAATAGCCTTAGATATTTATGGTACCTTGATTTTGCAGAGGTCACTCTGAGCTACTTGGAGGAATCTGGGACAGAACTCAGACTACAGTAATCTGTTTTCTGAGCTTTTTGGATTTCTATCATAGGCCACAGGAAAAAGACATTGTTTATTAGGGGCAGTAAAGAGAAATGGTAATACATTGGCTCCTGTACCCCCACCAGCTTGTCTCAATCCTGGAGGCTCCTTGACTGCTGTTGCTCCCCCTTCTCCCATCCCAAGGTGTCACCTGTTCAAAAAGGCACATCCTATGAGCCACTTTGAACTGCACAGTATCACCATCTATACTAGCAAGAAGTGCCTTGAGGCACCATGATTATGTTTTTTTTTTTTGGTACTGGGGATTGAACTCATGACCTCATGGTTGCAAGGCAGGCACTTATGCTGCTGAGCTAAATCCCCAGCATGCTATCTCTTTAAAGATATGTTGTACTCAGTAGACAAGGCCTTCATTAGTCACTGACTCATGACTGAATTGTTGTTTCATCCTTCAAAATGTCATGTTCTCCTAGTTTGACATAGCCAGCATCCTAAAGATGCTTTCTAGTATTTCCTGTTGTGATGAACTCAACAGCTTCCTAACTAGCGGGTCCCTCATGATATCAGTGCTAGAATCTCATGTAAGAAATTAGTTTCTGGGATGCGCTGGGGTCATGCTGCAAACAGGACACCACGGGCCCGCAGTCCCTTACCTCCGCAAACAGGAGTCTCGACTTCCTATTACCAACTATATGAAACCCATAAATTCTTTTCTGAGTTTTAAGGCTATCCATATCAAAGGCCTACCCAGAATGTCCTCCTCACCCCAACAAATGGTGGGAGTTATAGTCTCTCCTCACAGTTGAACACCACCCTTCCTGCCAGATCCTCTTTTCCTGAACTGGAAGCCTGCTCATTCTTGGGGGGCGGGTTACAAAGGCAACAGAGAAAAATGAAAATCTATTGGCCCTTACTGTTTCTTTCGGTATTATTCTATTCAACAAAGACTCAAATCATGTCATTGACTTTCCCATAAGGAGGATTTGCACAATTCAGGATTGGTTTTTAAATGGTTGAGCAAACATTTGATACAACTTATTGGACTATAAGACAGCATAGGAAGGTTCTCTGTTGTCCCTTTTTATTCTTCTGGGAGTCTGGTTCAGAGAAGTCACTGAGTAATTATAAAACTTGACTGGTAGGAGTTAGTAGTCAAGAAAGTATAAATTTTGAGTTCTAATTCTGACTCTTCTACTTATTAACATGTGACCAGTCATGCTGCTTTATCCACAGTGAGCTTGCACTGTTATCTGGAGCCAGTAATACCAATCACCGGTAAAACAAAAAGAAATTATGCAGGAGATTCTCTCGCTTCAGCCTCCACAAATGCAAGAATTTATAGGCAAGTACCACCAAGCCTGGCTGCATACACTCCTGCTAGGCAGCCAGTGGGATAAAGTGAGCCTGGCTCCTATCCTGGATCGGGTCAGGAGGAAAACTCTAGGCTAGTTTTCATACTTTCAAACCAAGGTCACTCCGGGCACTGGGTGAGAGAGCTAAACAAGAGGCCGCTGGCCCGAAACCCTCCACTAACACGCTGGCTGGGCGGCCCTGACTCACAGCCAGGCCGTATCTCGCCGAACTACGGTGCTTGGCTCCAGGGAGCGTGTGATTCGCTGATGTTCCGGAGGACAGCCGGGCTATCCGCGCACCGCGCGCCGCTGAAGGGAAGCAGAGGCCTGGCTTCTCCTCCGGCGCCAAGGGGCGGAGTGGGAGAGGGGTGGGGAGGCTGCGGACCATACCAACTGCACAGGGCTGTGGGGGCAGCGTTCTTGTGGCAATGCGCCGCAGCAGTGTGGCAAGCGAGGCACCACGGTTACCACGGCCCAGGGCGGCCAACACCTCCTTTTCTCGCGTCCTCGAGCCAAGGGCACGGGGCCAGTGCAGGGGCCGTGTCCACCCGGCCGCCCTGCGTCCCCCCTCCGAGTTGGGCGCGGCAAATGGGGCGGGGCCTGCTGGCGGCAGTACTTGTAAGCCGCGGGACGTCGCTCTGTAGACGCTCGGCTGCGCTCGGAAGCTGCAGGAGCTCTTCGAGTCCGGAGTTGGGAGAAGCGTAGCCATGTTACCCTACGCGGCGTGCAGGTGAGAGGAGGGCATCCCGGAGGGACGCGCGGGGCACGGCGGGCGCGGATCCCTGGGGTGATGTTCGCTGGGGCGAGGGGTTGCGGGCCCGTGGTGTTCTGTTTGCGGCGTGACCTCGGCGTGTCTGTCTTCCAGCGCGAGTCGGAGGCTGGCCCCGGCTCTGGGCATCCTGGGCGTCCGGCAGAAGCACAGCCTCCCCGACTTACCCTACGACTATGGGGCCCTACAGCCTCACATTAACGCCGAGATCATGCAGCTGCACCACAGCAAGCATCATGCAGCCTACGTGAACAATTTGAACATCGCTGAGGAGAAGTACCAGGAGGCGCTGGCCAAGGGTAGGTACGAGGCCCTCGTGGAGGACGCTGGCTGGAGCAGATGAGACTGTGAGCCGGTACTGCCTAGAAATGTCTCCCGTGTTTCTACCAGCTCCGAGATTTCCAGGCACAAAACTCCCCTGCCTCGTTTAAAACAGTGACCTGTCTCGTTCTTACTGATTCAGTTGAATAAACTTATTGTATTATGTCAGAAAACTTAGGATTTCATAGGGGATTTGTTTCTAAATTTGACTTCGTTAAGTCCAGTCATACTGCTAACGTTGGTGAATAGTACGGGCTTTAAAGAGAACTTAATACGTAACTCGTTTTTTCATGTTAGCATTTAGTATTTGCTCGTGTTACATAATGAGCTCTTAGAGATACATATTTTGGTCTCTCAGATAGGTTTGCCAGCCATTTGCTAGAGAGCTGAGAGAGCACCCTTAGCTTATGGCTCAGAGTCAGTCATGCAAGTGTCCTTGAGCGTCGCAGGAACTCTCGAAGTGGGCTGGAGCTTTGCTGTTTGTAACCCAAGTGTGTGCCTGGGTAGTGGGTGGGAGAAGAGGGCCTTTCTAACTCCCTTCCCAAGGGCATTACAGCACTGAACTGGCATTGCTAGCAGCTGCCCTCAGGTCGTTGTCTTCATGAGAAGGGGTGGAATCTAATCTAGGAATAGAAGAGATTCTATTCTAGGAGATTCCTTCTGTCCATGCAGGTGAATTGCTCAAAACCCTCTTGTTTTGCTTTATGTGGGATAGACAGGTGTTAGCATTATGATGTTCATTACCAAAAAGTACTCACCTGGCTTTGGAATAGGACAGGCCCTTTTTGCTCTGATTTAATTTAGGGGTAAAGTTTATAAGAACCATTTTTGTAGAAGCTGAATATTTGTAATTCAATTACTATAATATGGAGTTAACTTTTTAAAAAAAATTGTTCTTGACAAAAGCACTAGCCTGTGAATTTTTGTTTGTACTTCTGGGGTGTATATGGGGATATGTACTGTTTTAATGTCTATACAAAATAGTGTGTTGTTCTTTTAATTCATTAGCTAGGCCAGGTGTAGTGGCCCACACTTGTAATCCCAGCATATGGAGGTCTGAGGCTGGAGAAGCACTGTAAATTAGAGACCAGCTTGGGCTACCTGATGAGTTAAAGGCCAGCCTGAACTGCATACTGAGATACTCTCTCAAAAATCAAAAAACATTAGTTTGCACAGGGAAGACAGTTTATAGCCATATTTTGACTGTGTTGTTTACTAACTAAGAAAACCTACTCTTTGACTGTATTTTTACTGAGTTTCAGGCCTATGAAATTTGTAGGGTAAGTTTTAGACAGTGACATCTGATTGACTAGAGGCATCTAGTGGAAAAATGTAGTATTTCAGTTTGTGTTTGAACTAAGTACATGAGCAAAAAGAGGAAGACTAGCACATTCTGGAAGATTTGCTTGCAGGAATTAGATGAACCTTGAATATGGGAAGAGGCTCGAGATTTAGGAAATAACAAATGTGTGGAGGATATGTGTCTTATTTTTCTCTCCTTGCTGAGACAAAATACCCAATGCTCAAAGTTAAGGGAAGAATAATTTATTTAACTCCCAGTTTGTGGAGGTTTCAGTCCATAATTCACTGGCTCCAAGATAAGGTGGCACATAGCAGAAGGGCAACTTTTCATGGTGGTAGAAGACAGCAAAAGTAACAGGAGACCATAAAAGTGTCTTTCTGCCCCTTTTATACTCTAAGCTACTGGAATTAGGGTGGTGCCGAGCCAATCAGTGGACTGATTTAGTAATCACACATCCTTAATGCTAGCATGGCACTCCAGATTCAGCCACCTCTGAAAAAGCCCCATCTAAGACTACATGAGGCTTTGGGAGGATGTCTAAACACAAACTGTAACAGTGTGGTCATAATGAAGCTGGGAAGTAGCCCAGTGATGAAAATACTTTCTGCAATCATGTCTGACACCTTCGGTATTTAAAAAAAAAAATCTTAATTTCAGTTTTCTTTCTCTCTCTCTCTTTTTTTTTTTTTTTTTTAATCTTTTCACTGAGGAGTTCAGGCTGCCTTGAACTCACTTTGTAGCCTAGGCTGGCCTGGGACTCATAGCGATCCTTCTGCCTCTCAGTGCTGGAATTTATAGATGTGCCCCATCATACCTAGCTTGTCTTTTTTGTATGGAATCAAAATATGTTTAATAAGAGCCACTGAAAAAAACAGCTTTATATCATATTGCAGTACTACATTGACTATAAGTTAATAACCACAGAACTTTTCTTTGAAAGTTATATTTTTGAGAGTGAGTTAAATTTTCATAATTGAAAACTTTGGAAAAAAGAAGAGTAAATAAAGTAGCATATTGTCATCACACATAACTACTGTAAATACTTTTTCAAGCAAAAGTTTTTAACTTATTGTATTTGAAGAGTAAAAGCTGAATTGAAACTAAAAAAATATTGAACTTCTTGAAGTCACAGAATAAAAAATAATTTGAGTACTTGTTTACCAAGAAGTCTTTCGGGTTTCAGCTTACTTTGCTCAGTTGTTTTTGAGAATACGTTCAGAAAGTTCAGACATGACATTCTTGTTTTAGAACTATAAAGAGGCCCATTTTTTGGAAACTACATTTAATATATTCAATCATCTAGTGAGTCAACACATACTTATTGAGCATGTTGTATGTGAGGCAGTATTGGACTCTGAGGCGAGAGTAGTGCACAAAAATTTTTGTCGTCAATGGTGTCTGTAGTCTAGTGGGGGCACAGATGGACAAATGCACGTGCAGAGTGCCAGCAGAGTTTGGAAGACATGATTGGATTCTGGATGTGTCTTATAGTTGGAGTGGGGTTTGCTGAGGGGATGGGGATGGATTGAGCGTGGAATACGAGGAAAAAGGGGTCAAAGATGACATCAGTGACCTCGGGATCAGAGTTGGAATTCACTGAGATGGGGAAAACTATAGATGCAATAAGTTTGGGTTTGAAAATCAGGAGTTCAATTTGAGTGTGTAGAGTTTCTTTTTAATGTCACTTTGAAATATTTCCCAGTGAGTAACTGTCTTGTCTTGGAGAATGAGAGTTGAGTTTTCTTTGTAGTCTGTACTGATCCATGCATTGTAGCATTCCATTACTGTATTTTAATATGCTTTGGTGTTTTTATTTGTTGAAACTTTTTTGTTTAAGAGAACACGGAACGCTTGGCCATCAGAAGTGAATTTTTTCCTAGCTTTAACCACCCCTACTGGCCTTGCCAGTTATATACCACACCATAAATTGAACAGAAAAGCTGAAACAAGTTTTTGGGAGGTCCCCTTTTTCTGGGTAGAATATGAAATTGCTGAATTTTAGGAAAAATGGGAATGTTATAAATAAACTGTACAGTTAATGTCTTATAAAGGAAAAAAAAAAGAACAGTGTATACAGTGGTTAAAGTGTAAGAATTTTTTTTTTAAAGACAAGGTCTTGGGGCTGGGGATTTAGCTCAGCGGCATAAGTGCCTGCCTTGTAAGCAGGCAGTTGTGAGTTCGATCCCCGGTACCGATAAAAAAGAAAAAGACAAAAAAAAAAAAAAAAAAAAAAGACAAGGTCTTGCAGTATATTTTAGGTTGGCCTTAAAATTTCAGTCTATAGCCCAGCCTGGCCTCAAACTCACAGTGATCCTTCTGCCTCAGCATCCTGAGTGCTGGGATTATAGTTGTATGCCACCGTGCCTACTTAAGAGTAAGAGTTTTAAAAAGTGTTTTTGAATTTTAATATTTCAGGAGATGTCACAGCTCAAGTAGCACTTCAGCCTGCACTGAAGTTCAACGGTGGAGGTCATATCAATCACAGCATTTTTTGGACAAACCTGAGCCCTAATGGTGGTGGAGAACCCAAAGGTTAGTATATCTCAGTACAAATTTACGTACATTTTGTGCACAAAAAGGAGTGACTATTGATTTTCCTCTTCTTTTCATCTCTTTTTGAGGGGTTGCTGGGAGTCAGTCTAAGGTCTCCTGCATGTGAACCATTCAGTGCACCACTGAGTTATACCCTTAGCAGATTGTTAATTTTCTTGTTACCTTAATTCACTTGAGGTATCAGTGGATTATTTTTCATAGCAAAACATCTAACAAATTTGTAACTTTTAAAGGGAAAGAGTAGGAATGGAGAATGCATTCAGGGACTTACGTCATTAGGTTTTACACACGCATGTGGAACCATCTTATGGTTTAAATATTAAGGAAACACTGTAGTTTATTGTATGATTTTAATCAGTATTGTTCAAGGCATCCTATTTAATGCCCTGGAAATAAGCAGTTTCCTTTGAAATAATATTAAATGGTGAAGTAAGTCTAAGAAACTGGATAATTTATCCATCATGAGTGAGGTCTTTGGACTATTAACACTTTTGAAGTTGAGTTAATGACCACAATATCAGATCTACCCATGTTCAACTGGCATTCTTTCCCATTTTGCATTATGTGTACCACTTCATTCCCCTAGTTGTACTCATAAAGGATGCCTATTTTTCAGTTCATAGAATAAGAAGAATGAAGTTTTGGACCCAGCTGATACAGTCAATATGCTCAATCTAGAATTCTGTATTACTGCAAAATACAAAGATTATAGTTCTTTTTTTTTACTTTTATTTTGTAGTACTGGGGGTCAAACCCAGGCCTTTGCATGCTAGGCAAATGCTTTACCAGTAAGCTACAGTTAAAGCTCTTAAAGTATATACCCTTAGTTCAGTAACAGGAAAGAAAATGGCCCGTTTAAAATCAAGTATGGTGAAGACAAGCTCTAAATTGCCTTGTAGAAGAACCGAACAGTCATAACTTTTTATTTCCAAGTGAGGACAGAGAGTGAGATAGAAGTCAAAGTAAAAATTTCTGTTGAACTAAAAAATCAGTAGCCTTCCTGTACAGAAATAAACTTACTGAGAAAGAAATTAGGGAAATAATGCTTTTCACAGTAGCAGCCCCAAAACAATGAAATACCTAGGAATCAATCTAACAAAAGATGTAAAAGACGTCTACATTGAAAACTATAGTACTCTGAAAAAGGAGATTGAAGAGGATATTAGAAGATGGAAAGATATTCCTTGCTTTTGGGTTAGAAGAACGAAATATAGTGAAAATGGCCATACTTCCAAAACTGTAATACAGATTTAATGCAATTCTGATCAAAATTCCAATATATTACCTCAGAATTATAGAAAACAATTCTAAAATTCATTTAGAACCAGAAGAGACCTAAAATAGCAAAGGCAGTTCTGGCAACAAAGGCAAGACAGGAGACATCATAATCCCTGACTTTAAATTATGTTGTTAAGCCTCTGTGATAAAAACAGTATGGCACTGGTGAAAAAATAGATCTGAAAATCAATGCAACGGATTAGAAGGTGCAAAAACAACTCCAGACATATTCAGCCTCCTTATCTCTGACAAAACTACATTCACTGGAAGATCTCAGATGAAGAAATATAAACAGCAAATAAATATATGAAAAAAAATGTTCAACCTCACTGGTCATTCAAGAGATGCAAAATAAAACAATGAGTATTATCTCCCCCCAGAAAAAAATGACTGTTATTAAGTAGGAAATCAACCAGTAACACATGTTGGAGGGGCTCTCGGGAAAAAGGAACACTTCTCCACTGTTAGTGGGACTGAAGACTAGTACAACAATGAAATCACTATGGAGATTCCTCAGTAAACTAGAATTGGAGGTCCCATTCAACCCAGCTATTCCTGTCCTGGATATCTTCCCAAAAGAATTAAAAACATCATACCACAGTGATATGTGTGCACCCATGTTTATAGCAGCACAATTTGTAATAGATCTTTTAAAAAGCCCAAATGCCTATCAACTGAGGAATGAATAAACAAGATGTGGTATTTTTATATAATGAAATAGTACTTAGCCATAAAGATAAACTTCAGACCTTTATAGGTAAATGATGCAACTTGAGACCATACTCATAAGTGAAAGAAACCAGGCTCACATGTAAACATTGTGTTGTCTCCCGAGTGTGAGAAGCTGAAAGAGTAAGATCCAAAATGTACAACAGATACTGTAAAATGAGAAGAAACAGTTCAAAAGGAAAGAGAAATGGATGGGGAAGAGGAGAAAAGGAAGGGAAAATATATATATATGTGTACACATATGTTAAGATATATTATTTCTCTTAGTTCATTAAAAAGTTTTGTTCTAAAGTTGTTTGGACAATTAAACACCTATATCTTGTAATCTAAAAATAACAATATGCAGTATATTAATCATTGTTACTCTATTGTTTCAACGTTTTTTTTCTCTTTAGAATTGAAAGAGAATTTCTGTTGAGGGGAAAAATGAAGCAAATAGAAAATAGTACTTCTTTCCTGATGAAGAAATCACAATAAGTGAAGAAATCTCTAGCTTCATTTAAACATGTGAATTAAAACTGAAACCTTAGGTACTGGTGTCAGAGCAGGGTGAATGCAGGTATTGAAACTAACGGGGTTATATCTTTTTGTTCAATGTCCAGTTTCTTGGGCCATGTGACAGGGATATTTTCATATATGTAAATAGAACATTTTATCGTCGTTGTTGAAATCTGTTTGATTTTTGGATTTTTTTTAAATAGGGGAATTGCTGGAAGCCATCAAACGTGACTTTGGTTCCTTTGACAAGTTTAAGGAGAAGCTGACAGCTGTGTCCGTTGGTGTCCAAGGCTCTGGGTGGGGCTGGCTCGGTTTCAATAAGGAACGAGGATGCTTGCAAATTGCTGCCTGTTCTAACCAGGATCCACTGCAAGGAACAACAGGTTAGATTTGAAAATTGTCACTCATTTCATTTGGGAGATATGGTTTACTATAAAGCATTTAGGTAGAAGTAAGGAAAACTGGCAGTGTTAAAACTCACCACAAACGTGTAATAACCTGAGCACACCTTAACCAATGATACCCACAATCTTGTCTAAATGCTTTAAAAGTCCTTGATGTTTTGTAAGATAAGCATAGGTAATTTTGTGGATACATCAACAGAATAGGGTTTTGTTTTGTTTTTGTTTTTTGGTGGTGCTGGGGATTGAACCCAGGGCTGTGTGCATTCAAGGCAAGACTCTACCACTGAGGCAAATCCCCAGCCCCAACAAAAATATTTTAATCATAAAATCTGCTTTGCTTTACTGAGAATTAGCTGGCATCAGTTTAAATAATTCTGTGCGTGTGCGTGTGCGCACACGCACACACACACACACACACACACACAAAATAAAAACAAAAACTCCCAAACTAAAGCTAGGTACACAAAAACAAAGAAAAGAAGTAGAAGCTGAGCCCAACGTTAGCAGTTACATTTCTCCCTTCTTTGCTTTTATGACTAAACTGGTATTAGAACTCAGGTTTCCAGACTTTGCCTTTCTGGGAACCTTTGATACATTGAAAATATTTGGCTTGGAAATTCCAGGCCTAGCTCAGCAATTTCTGTTTTTCTGTTGGGCTTTATTTAATTAGAGAGCTGTTTATAAAGTGTTGCTGAAGAGTGTAGGAAGTAGAATCGTGAGTCCTAAGCAGTTAGCTGGGCCACTGATCTCTGAAACAATGAATTTAAAGGAACCCCTGCTACTGGGCATTAGCAGTTCTCTGCCACCCTTTCCATCTCTATGACTTAAGATTCTTGCTTATGCAACTCATTTCCTTGCATATACTCCCTGTCTGCTGGGATCTAAACAGTCGTTCTGGGAAAGTGAGATGCCATAAAAATCTATAAAAGACTTACGAGCACCAGCTGCTATGGAGACACATGTATCTCACACAGTACCTGCTGGAAAGACTGATTTTTATGGGAATACCATTATATTTCTTTCTCTGTCCATTGAAGAAAGCCCACTGGAATGACGTCATAGCTTTTTAATATGGGAAAAATTATTCAAAAACTTTATAGTAATGAATTATTGGTGATATCCATCATGATTGATCTAGACATTGGTTGAGAGTTGTTTTCATAGGAGAATTTGAGAGTTTTAAAAATAGGTACTACTGCATTTTTCATTTATTCTATTTATGAAAACATTGCGTCTTTTTTTTTTGGGGGGGGGGTCGTAACTGAGGATGGGATTCATGACTTTGCACTGGCCAGGCAAGAGTTTGTGCCACTGAGCTAAATCCCTGGCCCATAGTGTGTCTTTTTCTTTAATTCTTTGTAGCTTTGCTTGTTACTCTTTCTATTGATAACTGCTAAGTGGCACATGTTCTCAAAAAATTAGCCTTGAGGAGCAGAGTAGATTCGTTTTGGAAGAGACACTCAAAGCCGTAGCCACCCCACAGGCAGCACACCTTTCCTGTGGCCCCTGACACCACTGGGGCAAAGTGGATAGTGGACATTGGCTCTTGGTTCATTCTATTGAAGAACTGCTATTAAAATATTGTAGTGATTTTCCTGAGTCTTACATATTTTTACTAGCTATCATATTTTTTTCAAAGTCAAGCTTAAAATTTCTTTATAGGAGTATTCTTAAGCAAATTTGCTATTACATATGAAACAGAAAATAATCAGATTATTATAAAGGATAACTTATATGTAAGGAACAGTAAAGGTTTTAAATTAAGAAGCTACAGTGTTTTAGATCAAAATTTAAAGTTTTTACTTCTTTCTTTTCTCTGATAGGTCTTATTCCACTGCTGGGGATTGATGTTTGGGAGCATGCTTATTATCTTCAGTATAAAAATGTTCGGCCTGATTATCTAAAAGCCATTTGGAATGTAATCAACTGGGAGAATGTAACTGAAAGATATGTAGCTTGTAAGAAGTAAATCATCAGTATACTGAGTGTGTTAAGCTCTTTATGACTACTATGACTATTTTTGTAATAGCATAGAGTACTGCAGTGTACTAGTAAGCTGCTATATTATAGCATTGATTGATGTTGCTTACTCACATGTTTCATAATTTAATGTTATGAATAATTTCTCATTTTCCAATTAGGCAACTTTGAAAATAGTAAGTACTTCATGTGATTTAGTCTTTTTTTAAAAATGTGATTTAGTCTTGATTGAACATTTTATTTAAGAGAGTGACAGTTGGTACATTACTATGTCCTTATAAAACCTTCAAAAATATTCCAGACAGTTTGGGGTCTGTCATCCTGTTCTGATACAGTTACAGAAAATCTAGTCTTTCCCCCAGTTGCTTAACAATAAAATAGAAAACAATATTTTCCGTTTCTATTGAAAAGTGCTCTTTTTGTAGGTAATTTTCTGTCTGGTGGTACTTCTGGTAGATATCACCTAGTGGGCCTCAGTATGGTCACATGTCCACCCAGTTAATGCCATTTCGTTATTCAAAAGCGTGAAACTTGTGGCTGGGAATATAGCTTATGTGGGATGTTTTTTCTTACTATGCACAAAGCCTTGGGTTTGGTCCTCAACACTGTAGATGAACAAACATCTCTAAAACAAGCCCATGTAACTTAATTGTTAATTAAGAACCATTTTATTATTAGGAGGTAATTATGCATTTGAGTTTTTCTAGGGGCAGAAATACAAACAACTTCATGTGAATTTTGTCTTTAAACATAGAAATGTATATTGTATAAAAATGCTCAAGAGGGACAAATGAGGCCTGATGGATAGTATCATCAATAGTGGGAACTGGGCCATAGGACATTGCCCTGCTTCCGGGCAGGGGTGCATTACTGTGCATCCCTTTCATGAAAACTAGACCTGGGCCAGATACTCTCTTTCAGTAGAGGCAAATATTTATCTCTGAATAAGGTCAGCAGTGTCTGTCTCAGCATTTATTTTCAAAGATATACTCTTGATTTATTCTGTCCTTTGAGATTTTTTGTTTTGTTTTCTTTTAGAGAACTTATAGCCACTGTAAAAGCTCTATATTTTTCAATAAAGGAAAAATGATGCCTATAATAAGCAATTGCATTTCAGATTGTGTTCCTTTGCAGTTTCTGCACACAGAGCTACACACTGTTGCAATATAGTTCTTTTTGTATTGGGCTTAACATTATATTTCTTATGTTGACTCATCCCTGAAGCCTTTACCACGTGATGTTCTCCCTGACTGTGTCCCCAGAGCAATGAGGCCAGGCGTTCATGGATTGAAACTTTTGAAACCATGAACCAAAATAAGTCCTCCTTTAAGTTGTTTTTCCTCGAGTATTTTGTCATAGCAGATAGAAAGCTAACTAGCATATTGGGTTTGGTTCTAGTGGCTCAACAGATAAACAAAACCTTATGGGCTCTGAAAGGGGATTTTAGATTTGCACTGAATAAAAAAGCACAAATCCACTGAGGGATTTAGGAAGGGTGCTTTCCTTGTAAAAGCCACTGTGAGAGACGTGTGCAATAGTCAATGGAAAGAAAAGAGTTCCTTTCATTAAAGAAGAAAAATCAGTATAGGAATCAAATATGTAATTATTTTCAGGTACTCCAGGCCCCCACTTTATTTTCCAAACACACCATATATTTTCCTATCTAGTGTTGCTGCATAGCCATTCTAAGCATCCTTGAAAGTTCAGCTTCCCCAGAACTTGCAGATCTCTGTAGTGAGAGTTAATCCTTCTTTTCACAGCTGGACTATTTTACTACTGATGTATATGTGTGCTCATCCCATTAGATTGTATATTCTTCAAAAACAAGTATTCTCTCTTTTTGGAAAATTCTCAATGCTTAGCTTATATCTTACCCTTGAATCTTTTCAATGGTTGGCCCAGAGCCTTACCTATAATAAGAATGTAATTTTTTTTTTCTTTTGTGGAGCTAAATCATTTGGTAAATCAGCCTGAAAAAAGTCAGTCAAGGAGGAAAAGGCCTGTGTAAATAATTGATCTGAACTTCCTGGACTTAATGTGGGCTGGGAACTATGTTGAGCCACAGATTTGATATGTCTAGTCATTACACTAACCCTTTACAACTTTAAAAACCCCTTTGAAGTATTACTTTGTGAAGCCTTTATTAAAGATGAGAAAGTTGAGGCTCTCAAAGATGAACTGGCAAAATAAAAACACCACTTCACAGTGGCAATGCTGAATCCAGTCTAGGTCCAAATCAGAATAGATCTGACTGCTGCACCCTGGTGTGGTGGTGCACACCTGTAATCCTAGCACTCTGAAAGGTGGAGGCAGGACTGCCAAGTTCAAGCCAGGACTGGGGAAAAACAAGAGTCCAGTTTTATTCCTTATGCATGTTGCCCTATCACTACTTGTGTCAAAACCATCTGCTTCTTGCTACTGAGGAAGAAGGAATATTGGTACTCATGAAACATCCGTGGCATGGACTTAGAGTAGAAGTACTTTATCTCAGGACAGCCTGGAGTGATAGAGCTGGGCATTTCTGCTTGAGACCGAGATTCTTACCAGACAATAATCACCCTTCCAGACATTGGGGCCAACTGAGCCTGTCTTAGGCACATTATGGTTGCTGAGATGCAACACCAAACACACATAACAAAGGAGAAGAGGTTTACTTTAGTGCATGTTTACAGTTCACATTTGGCTGGCTCCAGAGCAGAAGTGGCCTGGTGGAGGAACATGTCAGAGGAAACCTACTCTTGGGGATCAGAATGCAGAGAGACAAGGGAGAAGCCTGGGAAGGAGATACACCCTTCTGGGTCATGCCCCAACAACCAGCCTTTAACCGGGCCTCACCTCCTGATGGCAACTCAGCCGTAGGCTCCACAACCTTCCACAGCCCCACCTCTGAGCACAGGAGGTTTTACAGGGACATTTTTGATCATAGCTACCCGCTTTGCCTTCTTGGGTCATTTTCACCTCCTCTCCCTCTTTACCTCTTGGAAAGTGCTGCTTCCCAACCTTCAGGCTTCGAGGCTTTGGCCATTCCCTATGTCTCTCCCCATAAGTCAAACCTGCCCTGGGGGACTCAGAAAAAACGCTATCTGTCTTGTATGATGGACCTCTGCCTCCTTCCTGCTCTAAGACAGACTGGAGATTTCTCTCCTTACCCTTTCCTCCAGTTCTCTACCTCTGTTGTTAACACTATTGTTCCTGCCTACAGACTTCCTTTATGTTGAAGTTTTCTTCATTACACTGCTGTAATATTTATCACATTGAGTTTGCTGCTACTGCTTCTCCCATTGTATGTTTTTGCAAGGGACATTTAGGAAAATTGAGGTAGGAAGTGTGTCCAAGAGAGGAGGAATATTGCCTTCAGCCAATGTGAAGTGTCCTACAGCTGTCAGTAGTAATCCATGATGAACTGCAGGATGGTGATAGCAGGGAGCGGCCTTTGACATTTCAGTTCAGGAAAACTTGGATGGGGGGCAAGGGTTTGGAGGAGGACTGAATAAGGGAGGAGTGGAGTTTCAGACCGGGTGATGGGGACAGGACAGAGATGAGTGAGCCTGAAGTGATGAGATGCCGGCCCTGGAAAAGGAGGGTCACTGTTTAATGGCTGTGATGAGTATTAATGAAACAGCATGGTGGGAAAACATGGTAGGCTGAGGGAAGAGAGCAGTTCCCCACTGACGGGAGGCCACAGAGGCCAAGGAGCTGAGCTTTGAGAAAATGATCCTGAATTAACACTGCTTTCTAAACAAGGAATTTAAAATAGTAGCAGTCCTCAATATCTTCAGTAGGAGTACAAAGCCTCATAGTTTATGTTGCCTGTAGTCAATTTCTGGGCCAAATTATGAAATCATATATTGACAGAATTATAGGTATGTGACAGAATCTCTACTTTTTAAAAATCTTACACTGAAAAACATTTGAGGTATTTGAATATTAAGATAGCATCAAATCAAAAGGCAAAACAACTTAGCTCTAAGCAAGAACAGTTCAAAAGTCAAGTGAGATGTACCTTAAGCTTCCAAGCAGGCTACACTTTATTTTTTTTGTTGGTGGGGGGTATCAAACTCATGACCTTGCACTTGCCAGGCAGGCACTCATACTGCTGGGCTAAATCCCCATCCCATTTTTGTTTTTTTTGAGACAGGGTCTCACTATGTAGTTCTGGCTGGCCTTGAATTCACTATGTAGCCCAGGCTGGTCAGGCTGGCCTGGATCACAGCAATCCTCCTGCCTCAGTCTCTTCAGTGATGGGATTACAGGTATGTACCACCACGCCTGGCTTAGACTACATTCAAAAGTAACTTTATGAATTATATGAAGGATGTGCTTCTCTAATCCCATTCTTACTCATTTACTTCTTTTTCTACTTTAGAGGCAAACAATTTGAGCCAATTTTTAAAATCCTTAATGGTGTTCTTTACCTGGAGCTCCTTTCACTTCGATGAGGTTCACTGTGACCTGATTAGAGGGCCTGTTAGGGACAGGTGTGTTCTTCTCTTGCATTGCCTCAGAGGGTGCTGTCTGCATATTTAGGGCGGAGAAGAGTTTTCATCCTTTTACAGCTCAGAGTGACATTCACACTCTTCCTGATCTATCCTCTAGTACTCTGTATTTCAGTTTATTTTTTCTGTGGAGTCTCAAAATTCAGCCTTCTCGTGGATCTCTTGCTTCCTAAGCACTGTGGTTCCTCTGCTTTATCACTTGGGGGGTGACATGCCTCCCTGTGAAGCATTGAAAGCTCTTTCATCCGAGCACTCAGTATAGTGATTGCCAGTGAGATTTTGTGCTACTTTGTCTCTTTTGTGTGTTTGTGGTACTGGGTATTGAATGCAGGCCCTTTGCCCTGAGTTACAGTCCCAAGACCCTGCCCTTTTATTTTTATTTTGAAATAGGGTCTACTAAGCTGCCCAGCTTGGGCTGAAACTCGTGACCCTTCTGCCTCAGTGTCTCAGAGTACCGGGATTACAGACATGATCACCCTAATTTGTTCTTTTGTACATTACCAGTGATGGTGAACCTTTTAGAGCTCTTGATGATGATAAACAACTGGCTGTGGCATGCGTGCCGTAGGTTTGCCATTACCGTGTGACCAGACTGTGAGCCTCCTGAGAGACAAAATGGGATCTTTTATTTGTTATATCATCAGCAGTGCCTGTCTTGCAGGAAGCACTTAATATGCCCTGGTGGGGGAAATGTATGACTGGAGTGAACAGATTTGGATTTTCTTGGCCCCTTGCCACTTGCTGATTGTTATGGTTTATATCTAAATACCCCACCCAAAGCCTCATGCAGGCATAGATGGAGCTTTTTGGAGGTGGGTGGGTCTAGAGGGTATGATGCTAGGATTCAGGGTGTGATGCTTGGATTCAGAGTATGTGATTACTAAATTAGACCACTGATTGGTTTAATATAGTTCTGGATGTGGATAATGGGAAGGCCCACGCTGGGAGGCACCACTTCAAAGGCTGGTTGCATAAAAGGGATAAATGAGAAGCAGGCTGCTGCTGCTCTTGCTGCTTGTTATTTCTTCCTGCCTGCCACACCATGAACTGTTTTTCCTCTGCAATATTCCTTAAGGCCAGCCAACTATGGACTGAAACCTCTACAAACTGTGAGCCAAAATAAACCTGTCCTCCTTAACATTGGGCATCAGATATTTTGTCTCAACAATGAGAAAAATTACTATGGCTAAGATACTCACCTTGTAATGTGGATACAACATTGTACTTTTGCTAAATGTTTTCTGATATATCCTTTAAATAATGTAAAGTATGTATGCACGAATATGCTTGTGTAATAACTGTGAGGTTTGTTGCTGAAAATTGTATGCAGGATATCCATTCTAGCCAGTGGTTTTTTACTTACTGTGATTTTTTTTCTGATCTCGTACCTGGGTAAGGGCCAGGGATGCTGCTCTACATCACACAATGCATACAGAAGCCTCACTCAACAAAAAACTGTCAATAGTATGGTGATTGAGCAACCATGATTCAAATTTAAAAACAAATGGTAGGGAAAATATATTTGCGACTAACCAGTGTTCCAAGTTTTAAGAGTTTTTTGTGTATAGAGTGGGGGCATCATATTAGTTTTGTTACTACTTTTGGGATAA